GTGGAGCTGTGATGTATGTGTGTCCCCTGAAACTATGCACGGAGTCCCGGCAACACACGTGTCCAACATGCCCCGACTCTGCCCTTTCCCATGCCACCCCACTCGTCCCCGGCTGCCACGGGGACTTGGTCATTGTGGGTTAGGTGAGTTTTCTAGAATTTTACATGAACAGATAGTAGATACTTCTTCATTGTGGTAAAATGTACCTAAAATGCCATCAGCATCTTAACCACCATAAAAGTAGAATTCAGAGACACTTAGGACATGTACAGTGTTACGCACCTATCACCTGCCCCTCTGCTCGGTTCTCGTACCGCCTCATGGCGATAGCAGAGAGCCCAGGGGTTAGGGGCTCAGCTCCCCAGGGCCACCCCACTTCTGACACCTGTCACAAATCCCAGGTTGTCACCTGTGCACTGACCGACCAGCCATAGACCCGGGGGTTCCCACGGCCCTCCTTGGGGGAGGATAGAACTGCACAGACAGAGGAAGAGGCACACGGGGTGAGCGCTGGGAGGGTCCCGAGCTCAGGAGCTGCTGTCCCGGTGGAGCTGGGCGCCCACCCTTCATGTGCTCAGATGGCGTTCACCATCCAGAAACTCTCTACACCTTGTCTTTACTTTCATGTAGGCTTCACCTGTAGGCATGACGCATCATACTCCTGACCTCCAGGTGTTCTCCTCTCTGGAGGATGGTGCCGGGCTGAACGTCCCAAGTGTCTCATCGTGGCTCAGCCTTCCTGCTGTCCAGCCCCACCCGGGAGCCACCCAGAACCACCTCTTTAAGACAACAGAAGGACCTGTTAGCCCGCACACCCCAGGGGATTTAGGAGCTCTCTGTCAAGAACCAGAGTTAAAGACCAAAAGTTAGAACAGAGGGTGATCCTAGCACCCCAGTCCCGTAGGGAATTACAACGGTTTCAGAATCACTGTGCCAGGAAGTGGGGCAGAATTGAGTATTTATATTTGTTATGTCACACACATGACGGCATAGCTGAACCTCAGGTGCATGATGCTGACTGAAAGGAACTATGCCTAAAAGGCCACGGGCGGCACGATCCCACTTATACAACATTCCAGAAAAGGGAAGCCACAGGGGTGGAGAGGGGCTTGCTGGGTGTGGGTTAGGGTTAAGGTTAGGGTATGCCGGAATCGGCGGGTGACACGGCTCTCCTCACTGTGGGGACAGACATGTGATCTAGGCATCTGCACTCTACAAAGAGCGAATCTTTCCGAGTGTATGTTACATAAAATTGATAAAAAGCAAACTCTTATTGTGATGCGTCTTTTCCCTTGGAGTGACAGTTTTATACTTTTTTATAAGCTGTTATTTCTGCCTCTTGCATTTTAGAGGTCACGTTTCCCACTCGCTTCAGAAAATTAACAAAATGTCCTGCAAGGCAGTGTAGGTCACGACCAAAGCCTTAGGATTAACCTTCCAGCTGTCAGATTGGTTGGAACCCTAGGGATGCCAGCACGTGCTGGGAACTCATCCACGGAGGGGCCCCTTTACAGGAGAGTGCACAGAGCTTCATGTGCATGGACCGCTTCGGGGACGGACGTGTGGCGCCATGAGGGGCCACAGTGCTGTCACCGCCAGTCCTGCATGCCGCAAGTGTCCACACACCCACGTGACCACCACCCAGAGCACGACGCCACATGTTCACGGCACCCAGGGAGTTCCCTTCGGCCCACTCCCGGTCAGCGTTCCACGTCACCAGCCCGTGCTCTGGATGCTGTCCTGGTTCACGTCTCACAAGTCGGGCATGGGTGTCCTTTCCCCTCCAGCTCCCCCAGCCCAGTGTGGCCTCCATGAAATTCATCCACACCTACATGGGGCACTGGTGTCTTGGTTGTGCCCAAAACACATGGGTGGTTCTTTGTGATCGCTGCATTTTATTCCATGATATGGCCCGAAACCAACACCCTCAAAGGGCGTGAATCTACCAGTTCGTTCATCCAGCACCCTGCTTGTGGACACCTGGGTGGTTCCATCTGGGGCATCCTGAGTAAGGCTACTGGGACCATTCTTGTCCATGTCTTGTGGGAGCGAGCGTCAGGTCTCTGGGTTACTCCCAGAGGACAGTGTGTGGCCTGCAGAACTGCGTGGCCAGCTCTCGGTAGACCCTGCCTGGCGGCTCTCTCCACCGGCCACATTCGTAAGCTCCGATCCTTGCATCCTTGCCAATGCCTGATATTTTCAGTCCTCCGACTTTGAGCTGTTCCTTTGGGCCTTTCTGATCTCTCCTTACACATTTCTTTGCATCTCCATTGTGAGCGCTGATGCCGAGCACGTTTCCGTGGCCATATGGGCGTCTGTGCATTCTTTTCTGAGTGCCTGTTGCTCTCTTGTGCTGTGTGCCTTTTTCTCCTTGACCAGCAGTTCTTTAAAATCCTGCCTGTGAGTCCTTGTTAGGCTTGCGTGTTGCAGATGTTCTTTCCTGGTCTGTGGCTTGTCTTCACGGTCTTCACAGCATCTTCCAGCAGACAGTTCTTAAGTGAAGTTTAGTTCTCTCTCTCCCTTCAGGGTTGAAAGTGTTTTGGGTCCTGTGTGAGGGATCTTTGCTACTCCAAAATCAGGGAGAGCTTCTCTTACATTTTCTTGCATAAGGCTTACTGTTTTACCATTCCCATTCAGGACCAGGATCCATTGTGCATTGACCATTGTGCACAGTGTGAAGGAAGGTTACCCGTTGTTGATGCAGTGCTCTCACTGAGAACATGGTTGTTCCCGCAGAACTGTAGGCCTGCCTTTCTCCTGAATCACTTGATGGGCTCAGGATCTCTTCCTCACTGTTCCCTGCGTTGGGTCTGTCTGTCCCTCCTTGCACACATGCACCAAGTGTTCACTGATGGAACTCTGCAGTAAGCCTTCAAAATCCTCCCCTTCCTGTACGGGTTTCTGAATAAGCTTTTGTATTTCCGCAACAACACCAGACACCCTGCTGCATGTCGATTGGCTTTCAGTTGAATCTGGGGGTCATTCGGGAGCCAGTGTTGGGGTCTCCACCGCAGGTGCTCAACACGGGGTCTTGAACGTCTCCCAGCAGTGGTGTGTGGTTGGCTTTGTGCAGATGGTACACAGTGCTGGTTAGATTTATTTGAGGGGTTTCTTTATGCTTTACGTAGATGGCACTGCTAAAAATTTCATTTTGTAATTGTTGGCCAGTGTGTTGAAATAGAATTGCCTCACGTATATTGTGCTTGCTTCTAGCAACTTTGCGGAAGTTACTTATTATAATATTCTGTAAGTCTCTCGGGTCTTCTACACACTGTGTCATTTCTGAATTACAGCAGTTTTGAGTCCTCCTCTTGGGCCTTTGTACCTTCCTGTCCTTCTCCCGCCCCCGCGCCCTGGCCTCAGTACTCGTGGTGCCCTTGCCTTGGTCCCAGCTTGGACACGGAGGCATCATGTGTCACCCTTGCGTCTGATGTGAGCCATAGGTTTTCTGTGGATACCCTTTATTAGAATGAGGTGTTCCCGGGGTGCCTGGCTGGCTCAGTTAGTGGAGCATGTGACAGTTGATCTTGGGGCTGTGAGTTTGAGTCCCATGTTAGGTGTAGAGATTCCTTAAAAAATAAAAAATAAAAAAAATTAGAAGAGAGTAAGGTGTTCTCCTCTGTTCTCAGTTTCCTGGTCTGTTGTTTCTTAATTATTATTTTTGTAATGGCTGGATTCAGTTTGCTGATATGTATTCTGTATAGGATTTCTGCATCTGTGTTGGTGAGACATGACTGGCCCATAAGTTTCCTTGCATCCTTGAGAGATTTCAGTATCTGCTGTGTGTTGGCCTCATGATAAGAATTAAGAAACATCCCTTATGTTGAGTCCCCGGAAGAGTTTGTATGTAGTCAATATGATTTCTTTCCTAAATGTCTGAGCAAACTCAGTAGCAGAGCCATTGGGTCTGGACTTTTCTTTGGGAAAGTTTTACAGATTCAGTTTCTTGCAGACTTATAGCTCTGTTCAGATTTTCAGTTGTGTCTGTTTGGGTTAGATTAAGGCTTCACGGGTACTCTGTGCAGGTCACCAACGCTGTGGCACGTGTGGGCATGAAGTTATCCTAGTGTCCACTTCCTGTCTTCCTCATGCCTGTGGGAGGCGCGGTGACAGTTGACATTCGTAACTTGTGTCTTCTGTCTGTTGTTCTTGACAAGTTTTGCTAAGGGGTGTTTTATTTTTTTTTTAGATCTTCAAAGAACTGACTTTCACTTTTGCTGACTTTCTGTATCGAGTATTTGCTTTCTTTTTTTTTTTTTAAAGATTTTATTTATTTATTTGACAGAGAGAGACAGCGAGAGAGGGAACACAAGCAGGCGGAGTGGGAGAGGGAGAAGCAGGCTCCCCGCGGAGCAGGGAGCCCGATGTGGGGCTCGATCCCAGGACCCTGGGACCACGACCTGAGTCGGAGGCAGACGCTTAACGACTGAGCCTCCAAGGTGCACCTCTTTTATTTTCATGTCTGCCTGGTCCAGTGTTCTTCCTTTTCTTCTTTTTTGAGGTAGGAGCTTAGATCAGTGTTTTCCAGGCTTCTCTGCTGACACATGTGCTCAACACCGTGGTCTGTGCTCACGTGGTGAAGGGCTGATGGGCGGTATTTTCCGTGTCACGTTTAGAGCCCTTCTTCATTTACGCTGTCTGTTCCCTCGCCCATGGTTATCCCGAGCTGCTGCTGGACTCGCAGACTTCAGGGGCCTGCTGGTTGCCCACTGATGGACTGTCTGCTGGATGGGGTGCTCTGTTCCTGTCCCCGAGCTGCATTCCTGTCACCCGATGTGACAGCTGGGACAAGCACCTCTTGCTGTCCCTGGTGCGTGGGAATGAACGCACGTCTTGTGTTTGGCAGGGACACTGCACTCCTCTGTGCAGGGCTGATGGGCTTGAAGGTCCGGTGTCTCTGCAGCAGAGGTTCGCTGCGGCATCCCCGCGGGAGCGCGCGGTCGTGGCAGCAGCTGGGTGTCCAGGAGGCGCTGACTGCCCGCTTTGCCCCTGTACTGCAGGCCTGTGGCTGCCCGCTGTACTGGAAGGGGCCGCTGTTCTGCAGTGCCGGGGGAGAGCGCACGGGCTCCGTCTCTGTCCACAAGTTCGTCGCCATGTGGAGAAAGTGAGTCTTGCGCCTGTGCACTGGGGGCGGGTGTCGGGAAGGGAGACATGTCCCCAGCTCTGCGCAGTTCCAAGGGCAGGTGCTGCATCACGGCTCATGTTCTGTGGCCGAGACGGCAAGAGGAGGGAGCTCACCTCCAGGGCATGTGGCACGGTGTGCAGTCCCTTCCTGGGCCTGCTCTTGATCACACCCCGTCATGGCCCCGTGCCCTCCTCACGGCCTGTGTCTGGGAGGGGCCTCGTGGATCGGGTGCGTGGGGACCGCTGGGACGTCCTCTTCCATTGCAGGACCCTCCAGAACTGTCACGATGACGCTGCCAAGTTCGTCCACCTGCTCATGAATCCCGGCTGTAACTACCTGGCGCAAGAAGACTTCATCCCCTTCTTACAGGTGTGCCCTGGCGTCCACACCACACGCACCTGCTCCCCTCCTCCCAGGTCCACCCCTGCATCCACGCCACACTCACCTCCTCCCGGGTCCACCCCTGCATCTACAACACACACTGGCTAGGGGTCTGGCTCCCTTCCCTCAGGGTACTGCTTCCTACAGACATGGCCCAGGGACCAGCCCCTCTCATGTGTGAGTGATGAGGCCACGTGTGCCCCACACGGCGCAGGCGTGTGCGAGTGGCAGGATCACGTGTGCCCCACATGGTGCCGGTGTGTGAGTGGGGGGACCATATGTGCCCCGCACGCGGTGCAGATGCGTGTGAGTGGGGAGACCAAATGCAGCTGCAGAGCATGAGGCCACAGAGACGTGGGGACTACAGCCCCTGGCTGTGTCACCTGCTGCATAAAAACAGGTCATGGTGTTCTAGAACATTCTCTGCTTCCCTTCAGACTCATTTAGAGCATCGTGGCACAGTCTGAGACAGATAATCGAGGGTGAATGGTAGATTTGTCACTGGGCCTTCTGGGTAGCCATTCTGAGTAACTGGATTATTCCAGCAGATGTTACCTAAAGGCTCATGTGACTGTAGCTCGTAAAATGAGGGTATTTAAACCCTCCCTGTGGACCTCTGTGTGGGTCCTTGTGCATTTATATGCATTGAGTCCCAGTTAATTGTCAGAGGTCACGATGGTCGCTTCCCACCACCCTGTCCCGTGCTTCCTCAGCGTGCAGCCTAAGGGATTTACAGAGTTGCACCCTTGGGGTTATGTTTCGTAAGCAGCTGTGTGGCCGAGTGTTCTGTGCACAGCAGCCCTGTCCCTGTGGAAGCCGCAGGGGTTGGCAACAGACACAGGTGCCTGTGCTCGGCGGGCACGGAGCGTGTCCCCAAGCTCCATCTTGTCTTCTATGTGCAGGACGTGGTGAACACGCACCCGGGCTTAGCCTTCCTGAAGGAGGCATCAGAGTTCCACTCTCGCTACATCACCACCGTGAGTATTCGGGCACAGCCGGCTGCCCCCGGGACGCCAGTTCCAGGCCCCACCACACATTTGAGCGAGGACCCAGGTCCTCGGGCTGTGGCCTTTCTGGACCCCGATCTTCTCGCCCACAAATAAGATGTTGGCAGTGCCGGCTGAGTGGCGCCAAGGGAGGGTCCTCGAGAGGCAGATGTCCCGTGTTGAGGCGTAAAGCACAGCGAGTTCGTGGAGAGCCTGGCGGGCCTTCCCACGTGTCTGGAAGTCAGACACTAGTGCAAGGGAGGGGGCGTCCCAGAGATCCATGTGGTCTCCTTCCCGGGGCCGGAGGGAGAGGGCTGGCCATGGGCTTCTCAGCCTGGGAGGACGTCTTAGCTTTGGGGGAACACACGTGCCTGCTCTTTGGACCACAGGGTTCACAGGCACTTTCATCCCCAACCCAACTGTTGGGCAAACACAGAGTGAGTGCTTCGGCCAGCACATGGGGTCCTGCATCCCCCGGTGTCCAGGCGCTCTGCTGACCGCCTTCCTCCTGCAGGTCATACAGAGGATCTTCTACACCGTCAACAGGTCCTGGTCAGGGAGGATCACGTGTGCAGAGCTCCGCAGGAGCACCTTCCTGCAGGTAGGCCACTGGCCAGTGGGGACACGGGGCCTCCGTATGTCCATGTCTCCTGTCCAGCTGCCATCCTCCTGTCTGCCGTGCTCCATCCTGCGTCTTCCATCCACCAGTCCATCCTCCACCCTCCACCCTGGACTGTCCACCCTCCACCCTCCACCCTGGACTGTCCACCCTCCACCCTCCACCCATCCGTCCACCCTCCACCCTGCACCCCCCATCCTCCATCCCCTTGCATCCGTATCTTTCATCTTCTGTCTTCTACCCTCCTCCCTCCTCCCTCCACCCTTCTTTCCATCCTCCACCCTCTTACGTCTACCCTCCATCCTTCGCCCGTGTCCATCTTCCATTCTCCATCCTTCTGTTCGCCACCCTCCTCCGTCCATCTCTACCCCTCTACCCACCCACTGACCGTCCACCATCCGTGCAGGAGAAATGACCCATCGGCACTGGAGATCGAGGTGTGCCCTTCACTGGGGTTCAGTGCACATGTGGGCATTGATGAGGAGGGTGCTGATCTGCCCACAGAAGGAGGCCCCAGCCTGTGAGAGGGTTGACACTTGCAGGACTGCCGCACATTGCTAGCAGTAGCCAGGCTGAGTTTTAGGCACAACCCTGACTGCAGTGCGCTCCTGACCTAGATGCTCTGCTCCCAACCCCAGGCTTGTCTTGACCAGTTCTGGGCCCTCCACCCTCATAATATGAGACACCTGGGTGGAGGGGGGGTGGAGGGGGGGGTCCCACCCACAGGAAGCCCAGCTCCTGTGGGAAATGCACCAGTTCTGGTGGGTTTGTTTTGGCAGAATGTGGCGCTCTTGGAAGAGGAAGCAGACATCAATCAGCTGACGGAGTACTTCTCATACGAGCACTTCTATGTCATTTACTGCAAGTTCTGGGAGCTGGACACGGACCACGACCTTCTCATCGATTCCCAGGACCTGGCCCGGCACAACGACCACGGTTAGTATGCAGCCTGTGTGGGACAAGGGGACCTCCAGGTGCTGGCCGCTCAGGCACCCTGCTCTGTCCAGTGCCACTGGCCATGGCCACCTCCCCTGGGCCTGTGGCCTGATGTCTAAAATTGCCTTCCTGTCTTTCACGCTCCTCATCTCCAGGAGTGGTATGTTCTTACAGGACATACGAGAGATGCAGGATGCACATGCACGAGACACGTGAGGGTTGGGGACACATGTGGGACATGATGCACACGGGAGACAGAAACACACACACATTGCAGGCTGCTGACCTGCCCACATAAGGAGGCTCCAGCTGTGAGAGCGGTGGTGCTCGCAGGGTTGTGCCCCATGCTGCTGGCAGCAGCCAGGCCAAGTGTCAGGTGCAACCCTGACCTGGTGTCTTGAGAAGGCAGGCAGAGGGGTCAGAAGGCAGGCAGGGCTGTCCTGTGCAGCCCACGAGGTAGGTTTCCTTTGATGATCCATGTTTTCAGTCTGTGGATGTGTGCATCCGAGTGAGCTGTCACACAGTTCCCTGGGACTGCTGTAACAGAGGGGGCCTAAAACAACAGCAGAGTACCCTCAAAGTATCCAGTCAAGGAATTTATGGGTGGTCACCCAGGAGGGCTGTACAGGAGTTTGCTGAGGTGGTTGTAACAAATGACCACAAACTGGGCCCATCCCACAACAGGAATTCATCCTCTCCCAGGTCTGGAGACCAGAGTCCGAGATCCAGGCGGGGCAGTGCAGTGTTCCAGGGAGGGTCCTTCCTGCCTCTTCCAGCTTCTGGGGCTCAGGTGTCCCTGGGCTGGTGGCCACGTCCTTCCCATCTCTGCCTCCGTCTTCATGTGGCTTCTCTGTCTCCTCTTGTGTCTCTTACAAGGACACCTGTCATTGGATTTAGGGCCGCCCTGATCCAGGATGAGCTCATCTCAGAGCCTTCCCTTCATCACATCTGCAAAGACCGTATTTCCATTTAAGGTTCAGGAATCAGGATTTAGAAATGTTTTTTGGGGGGAGACACAATTCAGCCTGTTGTAGCACCCAGTCATTTTGTATCAGGATAACGTTCATCAAGGTAGGAAGAATCGGGAGACGTGGAAAGAGACTGTCTTCGTTTCTCCGTCCCGTGGGTGCCGTGTGTGGTATGGGCTGAGCTGTATCCCCCCAAAATTCTTTTGTCAGAGTCACATTCTCCAGGACTCCAGAATGGGACCATAAGTGGAAGTGGGGTCTTTAAAGAGGTGATTACGGAAAATGAGGTCATTAGGGTGGGCCCTGATCTCATAGGATTGGGGTCTTGGAAGAGGGGATGAGGACACAGACACCCACAGAGACGACCACGTGAGGACACGGGGAGAACACGGGGTGTACTCACCAAGCAGAGAGGCCTCAGGAGGAACCTGCCTCGGCCCCGCCTGGATCTCACACTCCCAGCCTCGGCCCCGCCTGGATCTCACACTCCCAGCGAGAGAATAAATGTGTTGTTTAATCTGCCCCATCGGTGGTGCTTTGTGACAGGTGCCGAGGCTGACCGATGACCGTGCTTTTCACTTCTCATCTGTCAGGTTTTAGTTTAAACACAGTTGGTTTTAATCACGCAGGGAGAGTGTTTGGAGGTGCAGCATCTGAGAGTGTGACTATAGACGTGGTCTGCTCTTTAGTCCGCTGCTGTCTTGGAGCCCCTGGGTCAGCTTTCCACTCTCGCGGCTCTGACTGGGGCTCAGCCCTCGGAACAGGAAAGCTCTGGGCAGCGCCCTGGGGAGGACACATGCGGGAGAGTAGGTTCCACCCCCCACCAGGCCTGGGGCTCAGCATTTCGGACCCAAGCCTGCCCAGCTTTCCCCGAGCGTTTGAGGTTGGGCCGTGACCGCAGGTATGGGCAGGCGGCTCACGGCCCAGTTCTGTTTCTGCAGCTATATCCACCAAGATGATCGAGAGGATATTCTCAGGGGCGGTGACAAGGTACGTCTCAACAGTCATTTTCTTGTGATTTTGGCCAGTGTTCTGTGCCTGAGTCCAGTTCGAGCTCATTCATTCCCTAATGTGAGCTTGTCGTGTGTTGAGAGGGAGTGCCACTGTCACTGAGGTCGTGAGGAAGACACATGCTGTCGTCACACAAGGTCATAAATAAGGGAGGATACATGCCACTGTCACATGAGGTCCCAGTGGAGGACATCTTTGTCACATGAGATCATTAAGGGAGGACACATGCCATTGTCACACAAGCTCGTAAGGGGAAACACAGCTTTGTCATGTGATGTCAGTGGGGGACATACACAGTGCTCTTACACCAGATCATAAATAAGGGGACACACGTCTTTGTCATGTGAGGTCATAAGAAGGGGGGGCAAACACCATTATCGCATGAGGTCGTTTAGTAAGGGGTGGGGGAGGACAGGCCCCACGTGGGTGGTTCACGTCAGGCCCTGGGCATCTGAGAAGGCCCTGGAGTAGGCCACAAGGCGGCTGTGACTGAGGCCACAGAAGCCACTCCTGCCCCGTCTGCCATTCCAGGGCAACCTCTGCGTGCACATGTCCTTTGAAGCCTTCCCCCAAGTAGGAGTCCAGTGTGGGACGGGGCCAAATGCAAGGCTCCACTCACCCAGCAGTGAGGTGGGCAGGGGCCTCCCACCTCACGCCGCTTCTCCCTGACACACATTTTGCCTGTTGGTCTCAACCCTGAACCCAGGGGCAGAAAAGTCCAGAAGGAAGGAAAAATAAGCTACGCTGACTTTGTCTGGTTTTTGATCTCTGAAGAAGACAAAAAAACTCCAACCAGGTACGTATTTGGTGGCTGTCCCGGTACAACAGTTGGAAGCCGTAGGCTAGCGGTCACCTCTGAGCGTGGGCGCCACCAGGGGTCCATCCAGGCAAGGCCAGTCCCAGGCAGGGTCCACGCTGCAGTTAGTCCCGGTGGGGTCAGTCCCCAGCGGGGTCTGTCACAGATGGCCAGGCTCACCGAGGCTCGCACTGACATGCTGTGACTGCAGCATCGAGTACTGGTTCCGCTGCATGGACCTGGATGGGGACGGCGCGCTGTCCATGTTTGAACTGGAGTACTTCTATGAGGAGCAGTGCCGCAGGCTGGACAGCATGGCCATTGAGGCCCTGCCCTTCGAGGACTGCCTCTGCCAGATGCTGGACCTGGTGAAGCCACAGAACGAAGGTAATGCCCCCAGAGATGGGATACCCCGTGTGAGGGGATGCCCCCTTGCGAGGGAATGTACCGCTGTGAGGGGACACGCTGTCTGAGGTGGTTCCTCGCTGTGAGCTGTGATGTACCCCCATGTGAGGGGACACCGTCGTGTGAGATGTCCCTGTGTGAGGGGGCACGTAATGTGAGGTGATTTTCCCTCCGCCCCCCACCCATGAGATGTGATGATGTAGTGCCTCCCCGTGTGAGGGGACACATCGTGTGAGGTGATTTCCCCTCCCCCATAAAATGTGATGCTCCCCCTGTGTGAGGGGATGTCCCCGTGTGAGGGGGACACATCGTGTGAGGAGATGTTCCTTGTTTGAGGGGACACGTAATGTGAGGTGATTCTACCCCCCCCATGAGATGTGATGATGTGATGCCCCCCCATGTGAGGGGACACATCCTATGAGGTGATTTCCCCTCCCCCATGAAATGTGATGCTTCGTGTGAGGAGATGTCCCCGTGTGAGGGGACACATGATGTGAGGTGATCTCCTCCCCGTCCCCCGTGGGATGTGATGTGATGCCCCCTCCATGTGAGGGGATGTCCTCCTGTGTGAGGGGACACATCATGTGAGGTGATTTTTTCCCCCCATGAGATGTGATGTCCCCCTGTATGAGGGGACACATCGTGTGAGGTGGTTCCCCCCTGTGAGCTGTGATGCCCCCCCATGTGAGATGTCCCCCTTTGTGAGGGGGACACATTATGTGAGGTGACTCCCCCTGGTGAGATACGATGCCCCCACCCCGTGTGAGGAGATACATTGTGTGAGGTGATTCCCCCGTATAAGTTGTAATGCCCCCCCATGTGAGGAGATGTCCCCAGGACATCCCCCTGTGATATTGTTGCCCCCAACTGTGAGGGAAAATCCCCTCTGTGAGATGTGAGGGGCACCCCATGTGAGATGTGTTCATGTGACGGGATGCCCCCCATGTGAGATGTCCCCCTGTGGTACGCCCTCTGTGTAAGGGACACCCCGTGTGACGGGATGTTCTTCCTGTAAGATGGGATGCCTCTATGTGAGGGCACATTTCCCTTGAGTGAGGGGATCCCCCCCATATAAGGAGATGTCCTCACGTGAGGTGTGATGCTCTCTGTGTGAGAGACACCTGTGTGAAGGGACGCCCACTCAGGGAATGGCCATCCCTACTCTGAGTTGGTGACAATGGTGAGTGGGGCCTTGGGGAGGCCTGGTACCAACCATGTCACAAGACCCCACCCAGGACTGGGTGAGGTGATGTCCTCATGTGTGACATGAGCACCCTTGTTCACTGGTGGTGGTCACTATTGAGTGTGGACACAACACAGCGTGTCCCGGCTGTCCACCTTCCCCTGCCTCCCTCAGGCCCCGTGTGTCCCCCTCAGCACTCACCCGTGGTGAGGGCCCTGTCCTGTTGGGTGAGTACACCCGCCCTACCAGGGTCAGGAAGGTGGATGTCCCTGACCCCACGTCTCCCTGCCTCTGCTCCCTGGTTTCCCACCTCAGGGACCTCAAGCCCAAGTTCCTGGTGTGGGGCGGGGCCCTGGGCGCCTGTCCCCTCCTCGCCCAGGATCCCATCTGGGGTCCTCCTGACACCCCTCAGCTGAGAAGCCTGCGTCCAGGGAGAGGCCAGCAGTGGCACAAGGAAGGACCCCAGGACACCTTCCAGGGTCCAAGGGACAGAGGGAGACTTTTCCCAAACTGTGGTGCCTTGATTAGTATTGTTTCCATGTCGTGGAATCCTGGTCTTGGGGTATTTATGGTCTTTGTGAGTTCTGGGGCCGCCATGTCCAGGTCCTGCCTAGCGGTGGATTTCCTCCCGCCCCAGCGTCGTGCTCCATGATGTGTGCCTAGGCGCCCCCTGGCGGCCAGAGTTTCTCTCTGTTCCTGTGCTGCGCCTCCACGTCTGTCGTCTGACCCATTCTGGGGCACACAGATCCCCAGGCCTCTGGTCTGCACTGCTGCCCCACCTAGCCTGCCTGCCCACACCAGGAACTGCCTCGTGTGGGTGCGTTTTATGCCCAGTTGCATCAGAAAATGCAGTATTGTGCCATGTTTTTCAAGGCGCATCATGACGGACATGCACACACGTCAAATGCAGATTTGTGAAAGCTCTCACCCGGGAGTAATCGTCTCTGAACTGTTTCCTCTCCTGCAGGGAAAATCACCCTCCATGACCTGAAGAAGTGTAAACTCGCCAATGTGTTCTTTGATACCTTCTTCAACATCGAGAAATACCTCGACCATGAGCAGAAGGAACAGGTCTCCCTGCTCAGGGTGAGTGTGGTAAGGAGCACGTGGGGTGGCGGCCGCATCCGCGCCGCGTGACACGCCTGTTTCATCTAGGAGAGTGAGAGCGAAGGCCCTGAGCTCTCCGACTGGGAGAAGTACGCTGCCGAGGAGTACGACATCCTGGTGGCCGAGGAGGCTGTGGGAGAGCCCTGGGAGGATGGGTGAGTGTGCGGACGGGACGCAGAGATGGCCGGGAGGGCCACGCGTGCTACGTGGGGCAGCGGGCGCCTCCTTTCCCACATCCACCTGACCCCCCCCATGGGCTCGGGCCAGAGACAGTGGCTCGTGGGGGCTGCTCCCCCGCGTGCTTCGGGCACCTGTGATGTTCGGCTGACAAGCGTGCGCGGCTGTGAGTAGGGAACCTCGGTGGGGAAGAGAAGGTGGCGGTGGGTGTCCTGAATCCTCAGTGAAAGCCACTCATGCCCGGCGGGGGCCTGTGCACAGGCCTGGCCCCAGAGGAGCTTCGAGAGGCCCCTTCCCAGGATCACGGGGGCTGCCGATCCAGCTAGGCCAGGTTCCAAGTCTGCAGCCACAGCAGGGCCCCGGGCGTGAGTGCGGGCAGGCCCAGCCCCCTGCCTGTCCTGGTGCCCCTGTGTCTGCCCCTGTCCCAGAAACAGACCCAGAGGTGTCATTGCTCTGCCCCCAAGACCTGGGACCCAGGAGCACCAGCCAAGAGGGCCCGGCGCAGGCTGTGCAGTAGGGGCGTTTGAGGCCTGTGGCCCAGAGCCCAGCCTCTCCCCGTCCCCACGCTCACAACCCCCCCCCGCCAATATGCTTGCTCCTCGCCCCCACATCGTGGCCAACTCCCTTCCGTCTTGACCCTTGGGTCACCCGGGACCCTGGGACGTCTCTTGCCCAGTCAGTGCCTCCCACCAACTGCGGAGGGCGCACACACCACAGAGCTGGGGTCCTGGAGAGCCCGGCTCAGGGGCAAGGACCCGACAGACCCTCATAGAGTCACCGCGGCTGGGAACCTTGTCCTCTTGGTACCTGCTCATGAGGCCAGCGCAGGGAGACAGGCCTTGAGGCTCATTTGCTGCCCATACTCCTCTCCCCCGTGGCTGTGTGCGGGATCGGGGTGGGGGTGGGGGGTGTCCTGCTCCCAGGCCTGTGGCTGGTCCCAGCCCCGCTCCACCCTCCGGGCCTGGGCCTTCAGGCGTGTAAACAGGCCTGTGTTCAAGGGTGGGGGGACTCCAGTGTCTGCACACAGACCCAACGGGCTCAGGTCACACACCTGTTCCTTTTTCCCATCAGGTCACACGCATGTTCCCCGTTCCCATCAGAGGCCACTCAGCCCCCGGGTCAGGGTCACGCAGGGTCAGGCATGTTTCCACATGTGGTTTGTGGTGCAGGAGCGGAGCCCATGGTAGGGCGTCCCCTCTGCCCCTCGCGACGGGCCCTCCATGCAGGAGTTCTCAGTTTGGTGGCCACGGGGCTGCCTGCTCGGGGGTCTTGACCCCCACCCCCAGGAGGGTTTCAAATGGGCAGGGGGCACTTCGAGCATCCCCCGTCCCTCCCCATTCAGACTCTTCGCAGGTGCTGGGCTGGTCTTCATTTGGCATTTGTGGTTTTCCTGGACGTCACAGAAGCGGAACCCCGCCGTCCCCTCGCACAGGCTCTGCCAGCAAAAGGTGTTAGCGAGCCGGGCCTTTCGGTGGGCACGTCGGGCACTCCGTGTCCCCGCTGAGCAGGGTTCCTACTCTGGGTGACCACCTGCCAGGCCACGGATATTCGGTGGCTTCCCCTCTGGTTCTGGGCAGGTGTGAATAGCGCTGCTGTGAACCATTCCCACACTGGCCTTGTGTGAACGCGGGTTCTCACGTCTCTGGGTTCGGTGCCTGAGGCTGCGGGTCACGTGGGGACGCCTGTTTGCCTTCACCAGAACCCATAGCGGCATCCCACTATGGGTGATGGTTCTAGCTGCTCCACATCCTCGTCAGCACGGTCTGCTTGCGGTCATTTACATGTCAGCCCGTCCCTGGCATGCCACCGGGCGTGTCCCCTCGTGGCTGTGAGCATCCCTGTCCTCGTCGGGCCTCCGTGGTCCCCAGGGGATGTGCCTTGTCTCTGCGCGTTCTCCACGTCGGATCATCCGCTTTCTCACTGAGGTTTTACGGTTCTTCATGGTTCATCGATATAGGTTCTCTGTCGGATCTGTGGTTTGTTGACTTTTTCTCCAAACTTGTGGCCAACTCCAACTGTTTTCGTTGGAATGTGTGTCTTGAGAGAGACGCTGTTCTCATTGATGAAGTGCCAGGTGTCCGTCCATTGGCACCACACGCTGTGTTCTGCTGTCCCATGTCAGACTCTGCTGCCTCGTCCACACCCACAGAGCTCTTGTCTGCACGTTTCAGTTCCACGTCCAGGTCTGTGGCCCATCCTGACTTGCGTGGGGCGTGAGGTGAGGGTCCAGGTCCCTGCTCCGCTGCTGCAACACCGTCTGGGGCAGAGCCATCGAGGGGCTGGCCACGTTCACGGTGACACGCGGGCGTGCCAGGTCTCCCCAGTGCACTGTGCGTCTGTCCACACACCTCTGCAGCCTGTTCGTACCACCATGGCCTGAGGGAGAGGCCTTCGCTCTCCTCATTCACGGGCGTTCGGGCCACGCGGTGCGTTGCGTTTCCGCAGGAGTCATGGAATCTGCCTGTGGGTTTCCTGAAGAGGCCTGCAGGCCTGGTGCCGGGTCTCTGGGCGGGGAGAGTTGGAGAATCGACTCCCTGGCCCCACCGGCTGGCTGTGGGGTGGATTTTGAACCCATCTGCGCTCTTCACCAGCCTCCTGGGCTTGTGTCTGCAGCTCTGTGGTGACGCGGCAACCCCGTGGTCCGATGCTGCCCGCGTTCTTTCTCACGGTCGTGTCGTCGGTTCCTCCGCCTTTACAGCAAGCCTCTAAGGATAAGCTTGTCTGTTCCTACAAGACAGTAGATGGAAAATTCAGTTATTCATTTTCCAAAATCTCACGTGGTGTGGAGACGGTGGGCATCTCGAAGATGCCGTGTTTCCTAACCCACAAGCGTGTGTGTCTGCGCATAGTCAGGTATCATGCTTTTCCGCCAGGATTGTGTGGTTTTTGGCACCTGGGTCTTTGTCCTTTGTGACATAAGTGCTTCCTGACGCTTGGTGTTGGGAAGGTAGTTTAAACCTGGAACTTGTGGCTCTCTGTGGAAAACGCACAGCAGTACGGTCTGTCGATCTGTAGTTGGCACTTGTGTTCGATGCACCTGTTGGCTGCAGGAGTGTCTGTATCGGTTCTCTGGGGCTTCGTGCGTGGACAGTCACGTTGCGGGTGAGGAGGACACTTTCACGTTCTCCGCCCGCCCACCGTGCTTCCTAGAATGTCCGGTACGATGTTGAGTGCCAGTGGGCGTGTGTCCCTGCCTGGTCCCCACCCAGTCTGAGATGCAGAGGGGTCGTCATGGACGTGTCAGATGCCCCTGTGGATACGGGGGATCTTCACAGGTTGGCCCCAGAGAAACCCTACTTGGTCACATCGTCTGATCCCGTTCACAAAGTCGACTCGTGGCCTCTTACCTCGTGGCACCACGTCTCATGCGGGTGTCCAGGTAACGCCGGCCTCCAAGTGTGGGCACAGCTCCTCTTCCCTTGGGGTGGAGGCAAACCGCCAGTGACCCCGCTGGGCCTGAGGCTTCCCCAGGGTGAGTTCACAGCCGTCCGGGGGCTGCTGGCGGCGCCTCGCGGGCTGTGGCGCACGCGAACCCACGCGTGTGAGTGAAAGAGGGGCGCCCTGCCCCCGGGCTGTGGCGGCCGCACCCCTGTGTGCTTACCCACCCGTCCTTGCAGGTACGAAGCCGAGCTCAGCCCTGTGGACCAGAAGCTGAGCTCCCTGAGGTCCCCACTAGCCCAGAGGCCCTTCTTTGAGGCGCCGTCCAGCCTGGGCACCGTCGAGCTGTACGAGTATGCGTGTGAGGACGAGGACCTGCAGCCCTCGTGACCTGCGCCCAGGTCTGGATGCAGAGCCGCTTTCGTGTAAAGAACAAAACCGTTTGATCGTTGAGCTGTCTGTTCTAGAAAATGAAGTGATTTGTATGGGATGATAAATTTTTATTTATTCAACACGGAAGCTGGTGAGATGGTCATTGAGCGTGTGTCCCCGCCTGCCCGGGACCCCTGGCTGGGAGAGGAGATACGCCGGCCCCACCGCCTAGCTCTTGAGTGCAGGCGTCTGGAGACTTACCCGCACGGCCGAGCGGCCGCTTGCAGGGGACCCACGTTCTGCTCCAAAGCATCGGCCTCGGGGGCGTGAGCCGCGCACGGACTTCCGGGGCTTGGATGGCCCTGTGTTGTTCTCACGTCGTCGGTCAGGAACATTCCAGGGGCCCCGGTGCCACAGTGGCCCCGGGACCTTCCGTCCACAGGAGCGTCTCCAGGTGCCGCCCCAGCTGCAGCCCTGCACGCGGGGTTTGGGGAGGGAGCACCCCTTCGAGCGTACTTACGTTTTCGTGTAAATGTACAAAACATGTAAAGTTAACTTTTATTTGGTGTGTATAGCAGTTTAAAAATGTTTTACGAGATCACGTTTGTATTTTCAAATAAAGAATTTAAGAATTTTCTCTGACGGGCTCGGCTTGCCCTGCCCACGACACAGCACACGGAGGTCACAATGGGCACAGACGCCAGGCGGGGACGCTACGGGGGGCAGACGGCAGTGTCCCCACGGGAGACTTCACACAGTGTGCACGGCTCTGGGACACGGGAAGCCCGGCCGAGGGTCCCAGGCCTTGGGGCCCGGAGTGTCCAGCAGGGTGGCCCTCCTGCCCAGACCTGCACGCGGGCCACCCGTGGTCCTGACGCCATGGCCGAGGGCCGTGCTTTCCCACAGCGGCTTCCAGAGTCCTGGAGAGGGCACAGCCAGAGGCACTGGTGTTCCCCCCGCCCCTCGGACGGCAAACCCCCTGGCCCAGGCCTACGCAGGGCTGCAGAGGCCTGAGCTCCCGGGGCGTTCTTGCCTGTGCACGACCGGCAGGAGTCCTCCCCACAGACCGGCCTGGCTGTCCGTGTCCACATGGGGGCGTCCTCCTCCACACAGTGGCCCCGGGAGTTCTGGCGTGGCACCCACACGGGATCTGAGGCGCAGAGTGCCCCACCCTGCGTGTCCAGGGAGGGCGGCCTATGTGCGTTCAGCCCCCGCCCCGAGTCGGGTGCAGCTGGTCTGCCTGAAGTGAGCAGGTGCTGAGCCGACCGCAGGCAGCAGGCCCGTACCTGCCCTGCATCCGGCCCTCAGCACTGGACACCAGGAAACGCCCAATAGCGGGGCCCTGGGCCGGGAAAGGAAGAGCTAGAGCCGCTCCATGTAGGACCACGCCGGACTACAGAGCCAGTACCATGCTCCACGGCGGGGGGCAAAGCTGGTTCCGGAACCTTCCAGCCAAGCACAGCAGTCGCCAGAGGGAAGTCGCAGGCGGGGGGTAGGCACCTGGTGGGTAGGTGGGTGGGTGCGCGGGCACCCCGCGGGGGCCCCAGTCAACGGTCACCTGGCCCTCTCCCCACATACGGGGCTGGGATGCGCAGGGGCGGATGGCAGGGGTCACCATCATCCGCCTGGAGCCCCCAGGGGCCTGGGTCAGCCGCACCTGGACGCCACTGGCTCCCCAAGCCCAGGAACGCAAGGCAGCAACCGAGGAGGAACGCAGAACTCCTGACGTGAGTCCCAGCGGGGCGTGTGTCCTCTTCTTCAGTCTGATGCCCCCTGGGGACGGAGACACGGACAACCCTCAGGACCCACAGACACGTGGACAGAGACACGGACGGCCCTCAGGACTCAGAGACGTGGACAGAGACACAGCCCTCAGGACACAGTGTCACACACGCATGTGGACAGAGACACGGAGAGCGGTGCACACCGTGGCTCGGACTGGTTTCCGGTCAGTGTGGGGTGGGCAGTGGACTGGGACCCCCGCCCGCCAGGCCCTGGGAGCAGCAGAGCAGGGCGGGGGATGTGGAATGGGCACAGGGCGCAGCCTTCCCACGCTCCTGCCCAGGGCCCCCCGGCTGGCACACTGACTCCACCCTAGGTGTCCGCACGGGGGAGGGGGGTGTGCCCATGGGGGGGGTGTCCACGCGGGGCTGCCTTGCCATGAGCCTCTGCACTGCTCTGAGGGCCACGTCAGACCCATGGATTCTGGAGGTGTGACTTGGGGGCCGCCAGGCAGGAGCCAGCAGAGATGCTGAGGACCCCAGGGCACCCCAAAACCTAGTCCTAAGCCAAGCAGCAGTCCAGAGCATGGGACCACACCCTGCCAGCCTCAGGCCCCTAGCACACCGCGTGAGCCTGGAGCGCACGCACCTGGGACGGCTCAGCGGCCTGCCCCACCCCCAGTCTGGCAGCCAGGTGGTCGTCCACACGGCAGACACCTGGTGAGCTGTCGAATGGAGCCCAAATCTCCACACCCGCGCGCCGCCCCCCCCACCGCCACAAACATGCAGGCGGACCTGCTCCCACCCCCGCTGGGCACAGAGGCCACAGCGTCACCCAGGACACCCCATCAGATGGGACGTCCCACCTCTGCACCACCCTGGGATGTGAGGCCCGTGGCAGGAAAGGCAGGCCCAGGCCAGCGCCCCCACGTGGCCACCGCCCGGGGCCCAGCCTGCACCGACCTCGTGGACGGAGATGCCTTCCACATCCACGTCTTCGTTGGAAGAGTTCTCAGAGTCCTCCGACGACAGGAAGTCAACATCAAAGACGTCCCTGCCAGAGACAAAGGGTGGCCGGTTGCCAGGGAGACGGAGGCAGTGCCCCAGCCGCGGCCGGAGGCCCCTGGGAGTGCGAACCCTGCCGGGAACAGGTGTGGACGGCCCTGGGAAAACACAGGACATGCACAGACGTGGACAAGGCACGGTCCCCAGATCGTGGGCAACCAGTGGCACCCCTAACGCCGTCCCATCCCGTTCTGCACTGTGGGCAGTCCTGCTCGGTGCTGGGCAGTGGCGGCAGTCGGCAAGAGCCCCTGGCTACACTCCGGATACGTTCTTACAGGACAGCACGCTCTGCACATGGGCAGACCAGCCCTGTGCCTGCCTCAGACCCACACCGAGAACCCCCCCACCAGGCCAGCCCCGTCCCTGCCTCAGACCCTCGCGGGGCCCCAGCCCATCACACCAGCCCCGTCCCTGCCTCAGATTCACACCAGGACCCCAACCCATCAGACCAGCAACCCTTCACGGCCAACCCAAGGCTCTGCTCTGGAGAAACCCACGAGGATGAACACGAAACCAGGCAGGCAGAGGCCCAACAGGCTGCCCCACTGAGGACAGACCCCTCCACCCCGACCTGGAGGACGACGGCCTCACCTCTTGGACTTCTGGCCCTTGGAGGAGTTTCTCGTCTCTCTGTCCCCTGCGCTGGAGCTGGCCAGGGTGTCTGGTGTCCAGGTGGAGCACGTCCCCACGGGCAGCTCTGCGGTGCCAGGAGCGGTCAGCCACGGGGCCCCAGGGCCACCCCTCCCAACCCCGGACACCCTCCCCACCTTGGGGCCGCTTGCTGTCTTTGCATATGGCGTCAAATGGGTTGGCAGCGGGCTCCTCCTCCCCCTGGGCCACGTAGTCTGTCCTCATCAGGGACTTGCGGTAGACGAGCATGGGGTTCATGTCCCCCTCCCCAAAGACAGGCACGCCCTCGGGAATGGAGTCCTGGAATTGGGCGAGTCTGTGGGCAAGGGTGGACGTGGCAGGGGGATGTCAGAGGAGACCCGGCAAGATCCCCAGGAACCCATGGGGCCCCCGGTGTCCATCCCCTGCTGGGGGCTAAGGACCATGGAGCCATGCTGGAGGCCTGAGCGCCCCCCAGGACCCCAAGCAGGCCCGCGTCAGCCCAGGGAAGGCAGCCCTCAGCAGGGTCGTCCGCATCCAAGAACCTTCCCATTTCCGCATTCCCCTCCCCACAGGGGCTCCACCCCCCCCCCCCCCCCGTGTCCCCAGGAGCCCGTCCCTGCCCCCACCGCCAGGGGGTCCCGCCTTCCCAGGTCCCCAGCGCACTCACGCAGCTTGTCGCTCCGCTGGCGGGATCTTGCAGGAGAACTCAGCGAGCACAAGCAGGAAGCTGAGGTTGGGGAAGCGCTGCCGAGCCTCCTCTTCAGGCACTGGGGACTCAGAGAAGGCAAAGGCCAGCCCGCGCCTGGGGACAGGGTGTCCAGCGGACGGCGAGGGGGGGCGTCAGGTGGGGCTCACATGGGAAGGACGGTATCAGCTGAGGCCCGGGGGAGGGGCGAGGTGCCAGGTGGGGCTCACCTGGGGGAGCGGGGCATGAGGTGAGGCTCATGCGGGGGACAGGGTGCCAGGCAGGGCTCAGACCAGGGGCGGGGGTCAGAACGGGGAGCGGGGTTCCAACCAGGGGCGGTAGTCAGAGTCAGGAGCCCGGCGCCAGGCAGGGCTCTGGCCAGGGGCGGGGCAGAGGAGGCGGTGTTGTCAGAGAGCACCCCTCCCCCAGCACACACCTGTGGATCAGGTGGGCAGCGTCCCGGGCGCGGTCAAAGCCGAGGGTGAGCGCAAAGCGGCGGGCCAGCAGCCGGATGGAGTAGAAGGGGCCGCAGATGAACTCGATGGGGTCATAGCCAAGGCCATACGTGTCCACGTGCTTCTGGAACAGCTGCGGGAGCACAAGGGGCCGTGGGGTCAGGGTCGTCAAAGGCGCGTCCCAGGGGACTGAGGTTCAAGGACATCCAGAGAAGCCTCCCCTCCATCCCCCAACCAGCGCCCCCCAGTGACGAAACTTGCCCATGACACCCGCAGAGGACAGGTGCAGGAGGCTCTTCCGCAGAGCCACCCCCAGGTGGGGATGGGGGAGGGGGCGGGGACCACGCGGCACAGACCACGACCCGCAGCGGGGGGGGGGGGGGGGGGGGGGGGCGGCGGGCAGCCTGCAAACGTCCCACAGGCACCCAGACTGCCACGTCACGTCTGCTCAGCGACGGCTCAGTGACCGCTCCTGTGTGTCAGGCTCAACAGGAAACCAGCGAGGGAGAAGGAGCTCCCGATTTACAGAGAAGTCACACACACACAAACACACGGAAGGGGACACGGGGGGTGCGACATGGCCGGGACGTGCCCCTGTTCCACGCTCGCTCTGGGGAATCTGCATCACCTCAACGTCGTACGTGCAGACCCGTTCTATGGGGACGAGGAAGGAGGCCGTTTCCAAAGGAACAAGAAATGGCAGGAAAGAGTCCGACCTAAAGGCAGGCCTCAGTGTGAGGGTCGGGAATGCACACGGCCTCCAGAAACGGGAACGAGAAGCCGTGTTCCAGGAAAACCACGGGGTAGAGACGGCCCAGCAAGTATCTGCAGAAAGGCCTTGCCCACCGCGCCCACGGGCAGCCCGAGCACGAGGACCGGGACCCACGCTGGAAGAGGGGATGCCAGATCCCGGCCCTTCCTGATACATCCGCGGAGGCTCAACTCCCCAGAGGGAGACGAGACCACGGCAGCCCCGGAGGCTGGCGGGTGGTCGGCTGTGTGGGCCACCGTGGCCCCAGCGTTGAGGACCACAGGCAGTCCTTGCAGAGAGCTCAGAGCCGGGTGGGTGGCCCCAGATGCGGTGCACAGAACAGGGACAGACAGTTGAGTTCGAGACCCCGCTGTCGCATGACCCCACACAGCCTTGCGACGTGGACGTGGCCCCTCCTGACACTAGGCGCGGACACGCCCGTCCGAAAGCAGAACAGAGCAGGGAACACACCACCTGTCCAAGTCGTGGTTCCACGGATGTGGGTAAACCAGCTGCCACGGGGATGGAAGAACCAGAGTCACACAGCACACACGCGTGCACACGGTGTCATGACAGACTGACACGGAGAAGACACACGCTTCCCCCTCAGGGGTCAGTGGACGGGGAAGGGGGGGCACCCACCTGAAGGTCAGTGGACGGGGGAGGGGGGATGCCTACTCTGAGAGTCGGGGGATGGGGGGACGCCCATCCTGAAGGTCAATGGATGGGGGATGGGGGATGCCCCCCGAGCGTCAGTGGATGGGGGAGGGGGGTACGCAACCACTCTTGACGGTCAGTGGACTGCAGGGGACACCTACCCTGAGGATCAGTGGATGGGGGAGGGGGGAACAACCCCCTGAGGGTCAGTGGATGGGGGATGGGGGACGTCCACCCTGAGGGTCGGGGACACCCCCTGAGTCACTGTCAGGAGACCCGGCTCACCGGGAAAGCCGGCTGTGGTGGACTGAACATCTGTGTCCCCCAGAGTCCACACGTGCAAGCCCGGCCCCCAGGGGGGCTGCTGGGAGGCGGGGCCTTGGGAGGTGGTTGGGAGCAGATGAGGTCGGGATGGCGGGGCCCCCACGGTGGGGTAGCGTTCTCGTAGGTGTGCGGAGAGAGCTTTCTGAGTTCCACCCGTGGCCACGTGAGGACACGGCGGAAGGGGCCCGTCCATGACCCTCTAGAGGTCTCCCCAGAACCTGACCCCACTGGCACCCTGACCTTGGACTGCAGCCTCCAGCACACGGGAGGAAAAAGGGTCTGACCTGCCAGCCACCCTGTCCGTCCGTCCGTCCATGGCACGCTGTGACCGGCAGGCCGCCGACGTGCACCCATCTCGAGCGGCTGCTCACACGGCACGAACGGGTGCAGGACTCCCGAGGAGCGGGCAGTGAGGCGCAGCGGCACCCGTGCCCGGTGTGTCCCCAAGGAGGCGCACCCCTCCGGGCCTGGGCGACGCAGGGCGGCCTGGTGCCGCAGGCAGCGGTCGCAGGGCGCCGTCAGACCTTCTGGAACCGTCCGCTCACCTGCTGCAGGCACAGAAGCAGGGACAGCGCATTGCGGAGCCTGTCGTTCTGCCTCGTCCTCGTCATGGTCTCCTTGATGATGTCGCCAAAGTGATGGTAGTGCTGCGAGTCCAAGGAAAGGACCGTCACCACGGTGGCCACCGAGGCACAGCCTCCTTACTACGCGTGTTCCCAGATGACAAACTAAGGACGGCCGTGCAGCCCAGAGCCACTGTCTGGGTCCCAGGAAGTCCGTGAACGTGGATCCCACTGTGCGCTCAGCACCCACTGGGCCCCGTGTCGGGGCCAGGCCCTGGGCCGGCAGGACAGGGCGCATCCCACACGACCTGGGGAAGCTGTGGCCATCGGGCGTCGCAGTCCAGGGGCCCAGCTGCGCCCCCAGCACTGGCTGGGCCCCTCCCTCAGGGGCGCTCCTTCTGTGGGGAAGGCAGGGCCGCCAGGGGAACTGTGGGCCGGGAGCGGGAGCAAGGCCTCTCAGAATCACACCGACCTGCCTGTGCCAGAGCTGAGCCAGCCCGCGGGCGCACAGCCGCAAGAGCCGACCAAATGTCTGACAACGCACGGCCGCCGTCATGGCCCCCAGGACCTAGGAGGGTAGACTCAGGGCACAACTGCATAGGAGGGAAGTCCCGGGAGAGGAGAGCACCACCCCAACACACAAGACGCAGGGGAAAACCCAGGCAAGCCTGTCCCTACACCCGATGCCATAAAGCTCGGGACCACGTGAGGTTAAAACGGGAAGAGAAATACCGTCACAAAAATAAAACTCAATTAAAAGGTAATCGAGGGGACGTATTTCCCACAGATAACAAAAGACTAATGTCTTCGTTGTATTACAAGACACCAAAAGAAGGTCTTGAGATGACGATTTCTGAGAAAGGAAGTGACAGTGACTGACAGATGTATCTATTCACCCACCCAGCCATCCATTTGTCTACCCACCCATTGAACCATCCATCTACCCACCCACCCATTGAACCATCCATCT